CCCGGGGGGGCCACCGCCAGCAGCTGCCCCAGGCCCAAGGGGCCCAGAGCCACATCCTCTCTGCCAGCCAGTAGCTTGGCGTCAGGCCCGTGGGACCTGTGGACCAGAGGGGAGGAGGGACAGCTGGGAAGACAGAACCCTGGGAGCCAGAGGGCCGTCTCCCAGGAACTGGGTGTGGTGGGGGTTGGAAACCGAGGACCGAAAGAACAGAGGAGGCGGCCGTCTGGAGGGTCCGGGGTGGGGACTGGGATGGGTGTGGCTTCCGCCGGAGACAGCCCACGGTCCCCACATCCACGGCTTCTCGGCAGCGCCCCGGAGCCTCAGCTGCCCACTGGTCACTACATCTCTTGCCACGGGCACTTCAGACTCAGCCCTTGCCAGGCGGAGCTCAGCGTCTTTCTCCCAAGCCTGCCCCTGCCTCAGTGAAGGCACCCCCTCCCTGCTCAGGCTGAGCCCGAAACCCAGGAGTCCTCCCTGGGTCCCTCCTCCCCCTGCCTTTGGCCTTCACTCTCCAGCTACTCCTGTGGGGTCTTCCTTCCTCCTGGAGGTTTCCAGGATGCCCACCTCCTCCCCACAGCCACCCCTCCAGCCCAGTCCCTGGTCACTCATCTTCACTCCCCAATATTCCTTCTTCTGAACCTCTGCCTGAGCAGATCACTCTGCCAGGCATGCCCTTTCCTGCTGGCCAATTTTCTCCTACTCATTTATTCCAGGTATTTGTTAAACATGTCCAATGTGCCAAGCACCAGGGCTCCAGTGGAGAGTATGGTGCGGTTAACCAGGTCACAGCAGGGCAATATCAGAGGCACCCAATGGTCAGTAGGGGTGGAGGTGGAAGAAGTCAGGGAAGGCTTCCTGGAGGAAGGGACTTCTAAACAAACTAAAGTCATGAGGAAGAGAGGAGGATGAGCCATTCAAAGGGGCTGGGGCAAGGGAGGGTGAAGTCACTGGGAGTGAGGCCATGTACCAGGCAGAGGGAACTGGAATGCCAGGCCCTGGAGGAGAAAAGGCACAGGTGGCCCCCAGGGGAAGGCTTCTAGACTCATCCAGGTGCATTCAGGATTCCTTCCTTTGATTCTCCCTGTAGCCCCCCAGCATTTAGAGGTACTTCTCCCACAGGCTGGGCACCAGAGGGTGGCATCTCCCTGGCCTGCATCCCCAAGCCTAGCACGGACCCTGCACTGGGCCTGGGGAGCAAGAGGTGGGCCCCATTCCTCCTCCACACTCATCTGGGGTCTGGCCTCACCCCTCTCCTACCCCCGCCCAGGGTTCCCCCGGTTCGTGGGTTAAGCTCGAGGCTCAGGGGTCTTCCCCAGCGGAGAAGGGGATGTCTGGGGACCAGATCATGACCATCATCCGGACAGCCACACAGCACTGGCCCCTCCAGAGCCACAGCCCCCACTGTCCCTCCTGCTGGTGAGGAAAATGAGCCGGGGAAGCTCCTGGACAAAGAAGGCACAGCCGACGAGTGGCAGACTCCAAAGCCTGGTCCCCCCCACCCAGCACACACTGCCCCATCCTCGCGGGGGGAATCTCATCAAAGAAGGACCCCACTAAGGGGGAACACGTGGCCCTCACAGTCAGGGGTTGAGAGTAGGAGATTTGCCTAGGGTCACAGCCCCCTCAGCAGGGTCATTTACTACCCATCTTCCCTTGGGCAAGTCACTTGCCTCTCTGAGCCTTATCTGTGAAACAGGCACATTTTTTTTTTTTTTTTTTTGAGTTGGAGTCTCACTCTGTTGCCCAGATTGGAGTGCAGTGGCATGCTCCTAGCCACTGCAGCCTCGCCCTGCTGGGCTCTGGCAATCCTTCCGCCTCAGCCTTCCCAGTAGCTGGAACTACAGGCGTGCGCTACCACGCCCAACTATTTTTTTTTTTTTGTAGAGATGAGGTCTCGCCAAATTGCCCAGGCGGGTCTTGAACCCACGGGCTCAGCGATCCTCCCACCTCAGCCTCCTGAGTAACTAGGATTATAAGCATATGCCACTGCACCTGGCTCTACTATTCATTCTTATTATGGCCCTTTGTACTTGTACATATATATTTTGTACAATAATATGAATAGATATTTATTCTTTATAGTCTCCAAGCATATATTGCAATTTATACTTGGAAAAAAGTTTAAATATTATTTCTTCAGCTTTGGACAGAGCAACTCTGATGTGTTTGTCTATTTGTGCTGATAATTTTGTTTTGTTTTGTTTTGTTTTGTTTTTTGAGTTGGAGTCTCACTCTGTCGCCCAGACTGGAGTGCAGTGGCCGC